TTTTTTTTTTTTTTTTTCAGGGGCCCTAATCCTCTTCCGTACTCTTCCGTAGGATAGATACCTTCAAATATAAATAAATAAACAGCGAAGAAACAACAACAATAGCCTTTTATTGTGACTGAGTGAGCAGAGCACAGAGAAAACCCAAAAAACAGTCCAGGAGAAAATTATTTTAGAAAAATGACAAACACAGAGAAAAGAGAATAGTAGAATATGGCTTTATCTGAGAGAAAGATAGTTAAATGTTGCATAGGAAAGCAAATGGGACTAAAGAAAGAAAGTAAAAGCAGTAACTTAAGTTATGTATTCAGTAGAATCATAATAGCCTTCTTAAAAAGAAAGATACATTTCTAGTTTATCTGTATACTGCTTGACTAACAAAATATTGATTGATACATTTTCTAAATTCAAATGTTTTTCTTATCCCATTGAGTTTTGATTCTTATGCTTTTTATTCCCTTTAGTTTGACTCTATGTCCTGCTTTTCTTAAGAGTATTCCTAAGTAAATTTAGCTTGGCTCCATAACTTTATGCTTAATATGATAGGCAAAGATAGAAATTGACGCGTACTCGTTGAATTTGGTACAAAAACAAAATTCAGCATTGCGGCAAATAAAATAGAGTCACTAGTCAGAGAACTTCACTCTTAATTAAATTGCTGTATATTTGTCTCCACCTGGTGGTAGAAATCAAAACTACGTCCACACGATGAGCAGCCTATGCTTGCGTGTGAAAAATACAGTATTATTATTATTATAATTAACAACAACAACAATAATAATATTAACTGCATGGATGTTCATAAAATAAAATCTTACACCTTCATAATCAAGTGACTGTTTTCCATAGATTTTTCTACATGTCTAAATTTTGGTACAATATTCTTCAAAAGAATTATTGAGTACAATAACCTCATCAACACATAAATAAAACCTTGGTCATTAGAAATAAAATATGAAGACAGGAGTCAAAATGTTGAGGAACATTTATTCAACAGCAAATTAGATCAATGATCCACTTGTTTTCTTCCAGACACACAGTTACCATGCTACAACATAAATGTCAAGGTTTATACTTTATATGGGCCAAGTGTATTTACCGGCAGCTTCAACCATTAAACCATCCTTGGCTGGATTTAATGGTTACATTACGACACCATACCATTTAAAATGACCAGAAATCCAGCTTTAAAACATGACAGAATATGAAATAAAATAAACTCTTCAAAATTCATCATATAACCATTTCACTATAGTTACACAATATAGTATTTTTTTGGAGTCATTTCCTGATCCATTAGATTTTTTTTCAACACATGGTGCATTCAGCTGAGAACGTTTACAGTAGCATTTTTCAGTATTTCGATGAAAAAGCCATGACAGGAACATCAATGTTGCATCGAGGGGTTACAGGAAACATCATACTAGGGCCACAGAGGTCAACATCCATACCATTAATAGCAGAGGGGTGGGCTACGGGGGCTCACCATTTGTAAACCATTTAAACACATCAGTTGTTGTCATGAAGCAGCAAAAATAGCAAAGATGTACACGGGGAAAAAATAAAGTAATATATAGAAAATATTTCTTTCCCTTAGAGATGCAAATGGCATGTTTTAAAAGTCAACGATGATAAACAATCACAGCATCAGACAAAAAAACAGGTTTATCAGATTTAAAATAAAATTCAGGAAGAGAGCAATGTTTAGTCTTCGGTTTTCTAATAGACTAAAAAAAAAAAAAAGCTGGCTAGAAGTGCAGCTGAACAACGTTGGGCTCCTTGGCTTGATGCAATGAAATAAATAAAACAGCTGGGATGAGATGAAGCTTTAAAGAATTGAGATTATTAATGCAGAATGAAATAAAATAAGATAAACAACTCATTGTGCTTAATATAACAAAATAAGAAAAATGCTTGCATCATGTGCAGATGGAAAAACTGGAGTTCCTTGGCTTAATGCAGTGTAATAAAAATCAAAGTAAACTGAATGAGGTGCAGCTTTGCAAAGACGGACCTACTGCTAAACAAAGAAATAACAGAACAGTTACAACCAGCTCTGATGGGGATGGTTTTAAAATACTTAAGCTTCGTGAAGAAAAAGGTTTTGTTTGAGAGTTTTTCAGATTTTTGCATCCAATGTTAATGTCACTGTTAAGCTGCTGATATGACAAAATAATGATGGGATGCAAAATACGGGATTTTTAACGTGAAATGGACCAAATCTATTACAGTAGTTTGCTTCAGAATAAAAATGACAGCCTGCTGCGGTGAGGCACAGAAGGCTGTCTGTACCCTTTCTGCTGTGATTGGACATGAAGCTGATGATAAATAAATATCTAAAGCATAGTGTTTCCACGCAGGTATTTATGAACAACTTAGGGGCAACATAGAAGAGACAAAGGAAATAACTGTCAAAGCTTGCTCTGTGCTGAAAAAAATACCAATCACAAATCAAAAAAGTGCAAATATGGGGATATATCAGTTCTATAAAGTTTAATGATGGCACTGAGCACCTGAATCTTTATGTATATTTCTTACTAGCACTTCCCTGATGAGCCAGAGCTCCCTGTTCCTCCTGCATAAAAAAAATCTATCACCCTCTACCTCCTCCTTCTGGTAAGCTGTGCTCATTTTAACATCTCTGCACATGTGTCATGAGTCTTGTTAATAAGTAAAACGGTTGCCAAGGAGTAAAAAAAAGTATAGGAACAATGCTTTTTTTTCACACAGTGCATGCTACACTATGATGCAAACAATAGGAGAGGGGGAAGCAGGGTGGGGGACCTGTGTGGTTAAAGTGCAAAAGAAGAAACCAAAGGTTTTAGTTGTTTCACTTTCCTTCCTGCACATTGGAAAGGTACGATCAGGGAAGGATGGGAGGGGATGTGACTTCATTAGTTCCTCTGAAAAGGCCATGCTGACAAGTCCACTCTCCTCTGCATGGCTGTTCTTCTCACATGGAAGGATGAATTTGCCTTTTTCTTTCATCTCACTGAGGTGGAGCAGGGAAGCAGGCGGGAACCTGGACTGGGACGGGTGGGAGCGGAGGGATTAGTTGAAGCCGGTATCGGTGTGGTAGGAGTAATGCCCATCTGATGTTAGCTGGGTTGTCTCTGTTGCCGATGGCTGCAGCACTATGGGCTCACCAGCAGCCTCTGTTTGGGAAACAGGAACCACATTTCAATACCTGCTCCTATCCCTCTAACAAAACATTTAACTCGTATATTTTGGGTTACCTCTTTCATCAGACTGCAGCTGAGCCTCCAGGTCCTCGGGGGACACATAGAAGTCCTGCTCCTGGCCCTCTCGAGGCCGGGGTTTACATCGTCCACAGCAGCAGTTACAGCAGCAGCACAGGCAGCAGCAGAAGTAGCATCCAGTGGCCAGACCACAGAATACAAACAGAGCCTAGAAACAAGCAGATCCAAACTAAAAATACATCTGAAAACATGTAATATAATCAACAAAGTTAAATTGTTTCAGAAAAGAAATTATAGACTATGTAGAGTCATACACAGTCAGATTTATGACTTCCAGCTAATAATAACCAAGAGTTACATTCAACAAAAAGTTAGAATATTACAAAAGACCAATAAAAATGTTTTTTCTATAGATTTTCTCTAACTTTTATAGCTTATCTGTGGGGTTTAGGTCAGGCCAGTCAGCTACCTGAATCGAACACTGGTTCAATTGTCATTTAATATGTTGCTGATAGTTGGTAGTAGCACTGTGGGCAGGTGCCAATCACTGCTGAATAAGGGAGATCTGCATCTAAATAAAACTCGTAAGCAAGATCAGGGCAGCTTGGAGTATTTTTAACACTAACTTCTAAAACAAAGTGTATTGTGAGTTGATGACACGGCTCCAAAAATCACTGAATGAGGAAAACTTCCCACTGAACTGCAAACAGCTTGCGTTCTGTGCATCTCCAGTTCACCTTCAGACTCTGGGATATTCATTCCAAATTAAAAAATGAAGTTGTAGAAGAAAAAAAGGTCAAATTTCTCTTCTTAGCTCAGAGGAAATATATCTGTTTCACAAATGGCTCAATGCAGTAATTGTGACAGTTGCGGCCCATATCCTGGATATCTCCATGTGTGATTGCTCTTGAAACCAGAACAGGCTTTTCTACTTCAATAAATCTCTTCATATCTGAAAATGTTGCTTGTGCATTTTTCTTCTATCAGTCTTTTTTTCATCCACCAAACTTTCTATTGAAAATATTTGACGATCTGTGAACAATTAGCATATTTAGCCATGACCTTTTACCCTAAAATTAACAATCTCTCCCATGATTTAGGAAGCCATAAAATACTGATTAAATCATGTCTGTATCCAAGAAACTTTTTATCGGTCCTTTGCAATATATATATGTTAATTTTCCTAAATATAAAGCTATGATCGTTCTTTTCTTACCTTTGCCCACCAGCTTGAAAGCACAAAGTAAGTATTAACATTCTCCTCCCCAAACTGCTCAGCCACATACAGTCCCAGAGAGCCGTATTTATCATAAATATTACGCTTTGTGGGGTCATTCAGGATAGCATGGGCGTTGTTTATCTCTTTGAATTTATCTGCTGCCTCTGGATTGTCCGGGTTCTTGTCAGGGTGGAACTTTAGCGCCAGTTTCCTGATGTAAAAGGCAGGTAGAAAATCACTTAATGACAGCAGAAGGGAGCAGCTTCTGTGACTGGACAAAAGCAGAGCTTGGCCTCACCTGTAGGACCTCTTGATGTCATCAGACGTGGCCACCTTGTCAACTCCAAGCACATGATAGAGAGACTCCCCAGCGGTGGACAGAGAACGCTGCCTCTGTTGCTCAGCCATGATGCCTCACAGGCTGGACACAGAAACAAGAACAGAGAATTGGAGGTAAATCTATTTCATCAGGACAATCAGAGAAAATACTGAGGCTGGCAGCTCCAAAAGCAGCAGGGAACAGCTGGTAGGATAAACACATGTGTCCCGACACACAGATCTGCACTATATAGAATGAAATTAAAGCTGTTTGGGTCCAGATGATGGACTGATTACTTTCACCTGCATGTATCTTAGTTTTTTCTGCAGGATAATACGTTGTTGGAGCAGATCACTGACAGAATTACATCTTGGCAGGTCCACTGCTCTTAGTAAATTACAAGCTGACATCCCTGCAGGCTCACAAGCTACAATAGAGCAGAATTATAAAAATATATATATATACTTTACAAAACAAAATAAATAAAATGTAATTTTTTGAGTCTTAAAAAAACAGGCTGCATCCAAATGGGTGTTAACTACACAAATGAATACCCACTGGTCTATATTTGAAGCCTTTCTCATTTTATCTTCGGGTTTTCACGGGAGTCTAATCAATCTGAGAGATGTTTTCTATATATTCTCCCTCTATCAATCGCATCAGTCAGTAAATTTTCGGCAGCGAGGATTATAAACTACGAGTAAGATACTGGGGGCATAATCTCTGATCAGGAGTCATCAGCTGCACGGCCACAGCGCGCAGCATCCATGTTGGTTCGCTTCCTGGCCTGTTCTGGAGGCAAAGGCAGGGATGGATCGTCAGGAGGGATTTTTCAAGGGCAAGAGGCAGCGTCACAGAAAAATACAGAGATCATATAAAAGCAAAAATGATGCTCACGTTTTAGTCGGCTCTGATGCTCTCTAAGAATAGCGATCCGGAAGGGTTCTGGTCTTTACAGGGCGCAGCGTGACTATGGCAGCATCTCGCACGAATCCAGAACCTCTTTGGCTCACACTACCATGGACAGCTGCAGCAACTCGCTGACTCCGCCCCCTTTGGTACCCCACGGAGGACCCTACGTGCGCGTGCACTGATGAAATTCTGACGGAATGAGCGCGTGGTGAGAAAAGCTCATGGAATGCTATTAAATAAAGAAAATTTAATTTTGAGCTATTAGTTACTATTATATCATATGATATTATATGTTATATATGTATATATCTGTAT